CTATTCCTATCAAAATTTTAAGGGATACAGGAACGTCTCAGTCTTTTAGTGTAAGGTGTTTTGCCATCTTCTGAGAAGTCCTGTTCTAATGAGTGTTCTCATTTAGGGAGTAGAGTGTCTAACCTACCCGTTGAAGGGATTCATTTGTTGCTAGGCAACAACCCAGCTGGAGACAAGGTTGTTATTAATCCACTTGTAACTGACAAGCCTTCTTTGGATCAGAAACTTGATTCAATTGAAAAAATACCCTGAGCTTTATCTAGCTTGTGCAGTTACCAGAGCTATGTCAAAGAAAGCTCTTGAGAATGATTGTCATAAAGAAGATATTCCTTTGGCTGACACATGTATTGGTCAGGCTTTTGATGAGGTCACATTCACTTATATTTGGATTAGTCCGGTTGTGTTGATCACAGTGATCCTCTTTTAAATACTCATTCTCTTTTATCTAACCAGGGTGATAAACGACTATCACTTGTCGTCAAACAGGAAAAAGATCATGAGATATCCTGTTTGTGACAGAGGGCCGTTAGTGAAACTGAAGCAACTGAAGTACCTGTCCGTTACTTCTTTAGAAATGGGATTCGTATGAGAAAATGGAGAACTTCTCCCCAGGTACCTGCTAATGATGAATGGTCAGTGAACTATCAGATTGTAGTCCAAAATGTTAGAGACAGGAAATACTTAGTTTGGCCCATGAAACTCCTCTGGCTGGTCATTTAGATATAAATAAAACTCATAAAAAGATCTTAAATCACTTTCTATTGGCCAAAAATCAAACGTTATGTTTGCAAATTTTGTAGATGTTTTCATACTTGTCAAATGATAGGAAAACCCAATCAGAAGATACCTAAGACTCATCTACAACCAATTCCTGCATTTGAAGAACCATTTAGATTGTGTTGGTCCCTTACCTAAGACCAAGTCAGGCAATATTATTGAGGAATATTAAAACTAAAACTATAGTAAAAGCTTTAATAATTTTTTTTAACTTAATTTGGCCTTCATATATTTGTCCGATCAGGTCAAAGGTCAAATTTAATGTCTGGATTTTCCAGCATTTTATTCTTGAATTTTGCACTCCGCAATTCAAGTCGAAAGTGAAACCATGGTTTCACAAAAGTTTACTTTAGAGAATATTTGAGTTCTGAAAGAGAGTTCATTCTTTCTTGCTCATTCTTCTAAATTTTCTTCAATGTAGATTGTATGGCCCATGCAAAGTCAGAAAGAAAATGAATGCGTTAAATTATAATCATAACACTCATGTCTAAATAAATTAATGAATACTTGTATATTGAAAGAGATAGCTCAGTAAATCATATAATTAGTTTAGTGGTATCTGTCCCACTAACTGAGGAGATATGTGAAGAAATTCAATTGGACACAGTTGAACTTGTAACAATAAATCTTCGAAATTCAAAAATTATGAAAGAACTAGACCAGAAACGTTTAATTTGCAGCAAGAAGAAAGATATGAACGTAAACAGTTATTATTTAAATATGAACACTTGCTTCCGAATATCCCTACAAGGACAAACAAAATTGTTCATGACGTTGAAATTGTTGATTCTAACCTGTAAAACAACATCCACACAGGATAAACCATCTCAAACATGAATGCTTGAAAAAGGAAATTCAGTATTTGCTGGAGAACGATTTCATAGAGCCTAGTAAAAGTGATTGGAGTTAACCATGCACACTTGTTCCGAAACCGGATAAAACGCACCGTATGTGCACTGATTATAGGAAGGTGAATAGCGTGACAAAAGCAGATTCATTTCCGATACCAATGATCGATGATTGCATTGAGAAAATAGGAAATGCCAAATTCATCACCAAATTTGACCTTCTAAAAGGATTTTGGCAAATTCCACTTACGGAAAGAGCGAAAGAAATTTCGACCTTCCTGACTCCAGATGGACTCTACCAGTACAAAGTAATTCCATTTGGGATGAAGAGTTCTCCAAGTACGTTTCAACGTTTGATAAATATGATTACTTCCGGTCTAGATAATTGTGACGCTTATAATGATGACATCATTTTCTACAACGACAGCTGGAAAGGACATCTAGCCACGATTCAGAAATTCTTTGAAAAACTCACTGATGCTAATTTGACAATCAATTTTATCTCAAAGTGAGTACTGCCGTGCTTGTGGAACTTTCTTAGGACATATTGTGGGACATGGTCAAGTAAAACCTATTCATGCAAATGTTAAGGCAATCTTTAATTTCCTCTGCCTGTCAGTAAAAAGCAACTAGTGTGATTTTGGGGTATGGCGGGATACTTTCGAATATTGCTGAACCTTTGACAAATTTGTTAAGTAAGACAAATAAGTTTCTCTGGACCGAAAAATGTAAGGAAGTTTTGATAGGTGAAAAGCAATACACAAAAGTGCGCCGGTTTTAACAGCTCCAAATTTGAATCAGTCTTTTTAATTGTCTGTGGATTCGAGTGATGTTGGGTTTGGAGTTGTATTAATTCAAGAGTAATGGCATTGATCACCTAGTGTGCTATTTCTCCAATAAATGATATAGGCATCAAAGAAATTACTCGGCAATTGAGATGGAATGTATGGCTTTAATTTTGGCATTGCAACATTTTGAGGTCTACATTAGCTCGGCTCCTTCTCCGGTTGTTGTGTATATTGATCATAACCCCTTTACTTTTATAGCCAAGATGAAAAATAAAAACCAAAGATTATTAAGGTGAAAGTTCTCATTGCAAGACTATAATCTGAACATCAGCCACATCAAAGGAAAAGACAATTTGATTGTAGATGCACTTTTCCGTGTATAGAAATATTATTTCATATATACATTATTTAATTCATAAGAATTTTATTATGTAATACTCTTTACCGCATGTATAAATTACAGATAGTAAACAGGAAAGCTTTATTATGTAAGTCATTATTTTTTCTTTATGGGAGGAAGTGTTACGTATATGTGAATAAATTATATTTGTGTAAGGTTTAAAATTCATTTTTTTTTCATTTTTGTTTCATTGTATTTAATTACAATGAACATTTTTATCTCGGATTCGGAATTCTATTTTTAATAGTGAGATATAATTTTATCACAAACTTTGTTTATTTAAGACGAAATAGTAAGTAATACGTGAGGGTTGACATTTAGTTCGCCTTACCTTGGTAACAAATCAACAGGAAGTTAAAATGATTGGTCAGCATCACGGACTTTCTTTTTCCGCGTGATCATTGTTTGTAACAACCTATTTTTATGGTTGGTTTTTAAGTCGGTACGTACTGTGGACGTGAGATAAATAACGTAATAAGAGACCACATGATCAATCTCGCGAGATTTTAAGTGATGTTTTTGAGTGTAAATACGCCTTCTTTATATTGGTTTGGCCAGAGTCATTCAAAACCATGAAAGAACAACATGTATTTATTTTAAATTTGTTGCCAGAATATTTTGTTCTTCGTCTGATTTTTGCACTCAATAATTTATTTTCCTGGACACTCAATAAGTTGACTTTTTATATAAAAAAAAATTCTGAAAGATATTCAAGGAAAATAATCCTGGAATTATTCGGAAACAAATACTGTGATTCAAGTGAGGAATTATTGTTATTCATATATTGGACTACATCTGACGTCATCGCCCTCCATATTCATACGTCGTCAGGATTCGAACCTGGATTCGTATAGGACTATTTAGTGATAGGACTTGTGTTTTGTTTCTTCTTAGAATCATATTTGGATTATATTCACTAACTGTAAGTCCTAATTACAAAATTTTACATTGTTGTCTAGGGAAATAAATTGTTTTGTTGATATATACAAAGTTTGTTGACTTTCACTCTTTTCTTTGTTACAGGGTACGAGCCCTTATCACGTAATAATATATCCCGCTAAAATAAACAAACTTAAAATAAAAGGACGCAAACACAGATGACCGCCAGGATATCTATATAGAATTATAGTTTGGCATTAATCTGATTTAGGACCTAACAATTTGTTAGAAATGCAAATCAGTACGAAGAGCCAATAACAAGAAGTAGCGATAACTAAATATAATCAGGCTGACATCCACCATGGTTATAAGTGAATTGAAGATTTCAAGTACTATGCAAGACGGATCCATGTCTTAGAAAAAGTAAAGAAAACGAGATTTTCAACATGATTAACTTTACATCATTATTAAAGTTTTAGACTTTTTAAAATAAGAATTAACTAAACCGTCCGTTGAACATTAGCACTTATCTATTCATCAAAAAGAATTTTTGTGCAATAGTTTTTGTTCTAGGATAAAAAATTATTGAAGACAAGATAATAACAGCACCTTCAATTCCTCCCGTTTAAAAAGAGTGGTCCCGTATACAAGTCCACACAGCAACAAACAAACATTACAGGTATAAACGCACCAGTGTATGAAATAGCATTGCTTTATTGGTACACCAAAACAGTGATACATTCTTCTATTTTTTTTTCTGAAACGGTTACTGTAATGCTTTAAAAGTATATCTCATTCCAAAACTTAGAAAATAAACTAAGGAGATTAGAGTTATTGCTTTAAGAACAAAATCGTGACACGAGTACCTTATAAAAATGCAATGAACTGCCACTGGCGGCAAAATAGAGCTCAATCCTGCATTTACGTTCATTATTTTGTTTATAAATAAATCAGCCAGTAGGTGTGTGTGTGTGTGTATGAGAGAGAGAGAGAGAGAGAGAGAGAGAGAGAGAGAGAGAGAGAGAGAGAGAGAGAGAGAGAGAGAGAGAGAGAGAGAGAGAGAGAGAGAGAGAGAGATTTGGATTTTTAGCGTAGCTTTTTAGCAATTTTTCAGTCATATCGCTACGATTTATGCATTATGACAGTGTATAGTGATGTCTAACGCTGGAGCATCATGCCCCAGATATGTAGCATGATGTCTCATTCAGTCACATAATCCTGACACCAGTCGACCAGTCCTAAAACACTCCTCTTAAGGTAGAGCGCCTAGTGATGCAGCGGTTAGTACCAGTTTTATAAGTCTATGGTACGACTCGGCCGGGTTTCAAACCCGCGACCTCCAGATTCCGAGGTTGACGCTCTAACCACTTGGCCAACTGAGACGTCCAGCCAGGAGGTGAATAAAAAATCGTGCGATGGGTTGTAGGTGCATACAAATTTAATTTCTAACTTTTCTATGCAATCACGGCACATTTAAATATGCGATATTTTATATTTGCGGCGATTTTATGCCTGCTGTACATAAACACATCAAAATACGAAGAAGAAAAATAATCAATATTACACTTTTGAAACATGATTTATTCTAAAATTTAGAAAAGAACCTATAAAAAACATTGAATGGTTATTTCAAGAATACAATTGTATACTAGAACCTTCATAAATGCAATGTAGTCATGTAGTCACAATGAACAGCAAGCTCGAGCACAATGCAGTGTTCAGATCATGAGCTAAATGAGGCATACGATATAAAAAAAAATTATATACGCTATATGTATAAATTATTATTTTCATTATTTGCTATGGAAATAATGTTAAATTAACGTCAAACTATTGCCAGTACGAAGAACACTATAACCTTACCATTGCTAATTAGTGCATTTAATGTCATTAATTAATTAGTATATTAATGCCACAACAGCATCTGTATGTGCATACCAATTCATATTCTCTGCTTATTAATGAGAGTGCTTGGTCATAAAAAATAGGTTAATGTAACCAATATGATTATATTTCCTAATGAAACAATTTTTGTGACAATATTTTATCTTGAATCGAGGGCGGAACAAGAACTAATTAATACATCGAGTTGTTGCTTACTTTGTCCATTTGCAAAAGAAAAATATATTTGGAACAGACGGTAGCAGGCATTATTATCTTCGATAATTAGAAATGATAATATGTTTATTACGTTACACTCATAAATGTCAGAATACGGTCTAAATTCTTTTGTCGTGCAAGGAATCTTTTACGCAGCAGGAATTAGTGAACCTACGCACAACCCTCCTCCTTTCTCATCCGGGCTTGGGACCGGCAATGGCGGAATTGATAATTCTTGCAATCTTTCTTTCAAAAGTGATCAGTACAAAGAGTGATATGTAATTGGATGAATTTTATGGATACAATATTATACAGTATTATGCAAAATAAACAAAATAAAATAAACTGACAAATACTAATTGCATGTGATATTTGCATAAATTTGAATAATCCAAAGTTCAGAATCATACTGTACAACACATAATATTAATCAAGTGCGACACAAACATTTAAATAAGTATATGCTAAAGTAACCCAGTTTCACACAGATGAAAGTTGTCAAATATTGTTGCGTATACGTCCATTTAAGAGATGTATGCCCTAACTGTGCCCTTAATCAGTTGCCTACACACGGGACATTTCCTTAGGGACGAGGCGCATTGAAGGCAGGCCATCATGTGACAACAAGGGAGGAACACCATACAAGCCTCCCGGTCCATGCAGATCTTGCAGGTCGCTTGATCCTTTAGTTCTTGGTTTTGTTCTAGTATAGATTCTAATTCCTCTGGAGAAATACTGCTGTTTGGACTTGGGTCATTTTTCTCTTTTTCGGCAAAATTTGCATGCTTTAAATTGGAATCATTGTCACTCTGCTCATTTTTATCCACCGAAAGTTCTTTAGGTTTAGTGACCTTATGCTGCGTGGTGGCCTCGGTAGGAACTTGAGAAGAGCACCTGCTAGAATCAGAATCCTCTGCTGGATTTTCTTCTAGCTCAAATATGATCTCCATTAGATCGATGGCTGAAAAAGTGCCATGACCTGAAACAGAAGAATACACACGGTATGTGAATACAAACATCACCATTCCGCGTGAAAATGTAGTTGCTTGCCAAATTCTCTTCAGATTATAAAGTAACGTCGATAAAGTTTCTGCTTATTAACTTATGACACAATTCATATTGAACTTAGCCTCTGTATGTCAGTAAAAGAAACAGCAGCTACATCCATCCATCCATACAATGCTTACTTTACAATTAGCCACCCGAGCGAATCTTCATGCACGAGTGCTTCTATACTCGGCTAAGTTCCATCATCTTATATCTTATGTGGGAAGCAAGCTTAGTCGAGTGAGTAGAGGGGCTCGTACGTGAAGGTAATGGCGATAATTGCCGTAACTTCTGACTCGGGTTCGATTCCCAACATTGAATAGTACTCACCATTTCTACTGGTCAGCATCTGCATTGCTTTTCTAATCATTTCAGTATCATAACCCATGGATAATATGCTCTGCGCTGCCGGAGAGTCTAATGGATCCTCAGGGTCCATTTCCCTGGCCTCGGACCCTAATGTCAAACGGCATGCAGTATCTTCAGATCTCTCTTCCGATTTCACATTGTCACGTGGTTTACTTTCCAAACTCTCGTCAGATCTCAAATTTACTCCCATTAACTTCTTCAGCACGAAATCATCTTCCTTGCACTGTTTAAGAAAGGCACAATCTGGGTACCACCTCGCATGTTCATCCCAAGGCACATCTCCCTCCTCCCAGTTTCTTAACCCTCCTCCACAGAAAAAGCATCGCACACAATCACCAACACCTATGAGGCACATGTAAAATTAAAGTTAGTTTTATACGTTGGATGCAAATGGGTGTTATAATTTAAGTGCGATGATCCAAGCAGGAAAATGTTAACCCTGCTGAGTAGGAAATATCGAATTTAAACCGATTTTCGTCACGTCAGCAATCGATAAATAAATTAAACGATGAATCAATACATTGTCTAAAATGCATTCTAAACTAATCACCTACACTACAAGTAAAATCGTGTTTTCGAAATGCGAAAAGTTTCAAGTAGAATAACTTCATGGCTTACCAACATAGTAGAATCCAGCTGCGGCTAGATCAGCCGGTTTCTGTTGCAGATAAGAGGGCCATCCTCTGAATGATTCGAGACGCAATGTCAGAACGGAGTAATGTGGATGTTTTGGTTTCTCAAGACAATCAGCGATTTTAATGTTGTCCTGGAGCATTACTGGCTGTCCTTTAGGTTTTTCTGAGAGTGAGCTTTTGTGTTTTTCTGATTCCTTACTTTTTTCTTGAACAGACAATTTACTTGTAAAACTGGAATTACTCCTTAAGTCATTGTTCCACGCGTTCATACCATTCCTGGACTGTTCCTTGTTCCCTGTTCTATCCACAGCCGAGAACAGTTCTATCTTTTTATTTTTATTTATGTTGTTCGAGTTTACGGTTTCTCTAATATTGTTTTGTGTCACTGCCTCATCTTTATCTTCACGACTAGTTAGAGAATTTGCGCTGGGAACAAAATCAGAACTTCTCCTTATAGGCATATTTCCGTCCCCAGAGCCATTCACAAAATCACAATTAGCTGACAGTTTCTTGTGAACATCAAATGGCGAGTCACCTTCTTTCCAGTTCCTGTACTTCAGTCCACATGAAAAACAAATAGTTTCATCTCCAGTACCCGAATAGTAGAACCCGGATTGGGTTAATCTGATTGGTTGGACAGGGGAAAATCTCGGGAATGATCCGAAGGTGATATATCTTGCCCACTCATTTTTCATGCGCTCTCTTGCATTATCCATATTTGTCGATTTCAGAATTTCTCCAATATAAGAATGTAGTGACGTAACAGGCGGACTTGTAACGATGTCCATATTCTTTGGTTTAGCCATGCATATGTCTATGATATATTATCTTGCTATAATAATAATAATAATAATAATAATAATAATAATAATAATAATAATAATAATAATAATAATAATGTTTCTAAAAATATATCCCAACACTTTCCGACGTTATCCTACCCACTCTAAAATTTGCCCCCTCCCTTATATAGTCTCTAGTGTCCAGATAGACCCTGAGTTAAATTCAGCTATATTCTTTAATTCGTTATGTCACACCTACTAAGTTTCTATTTGTTTCCCTAATTATGACCGCATAGGATATTCTCCCTGGAGTTAATTAAAAACCACGTAGCCAATGTCATTTGAAGGTCATTTGCATGCGTAAGCGATATATTGTCAAATACACCTACCCGTTTCCTGTGGCTTGTCAAGGTCCCGTGTTGTTGTTCACCTAAGTACACAGTATTTATATAGCCTTAGATGTGACGTCATAAGGATAGTGTCGGTCAATATTTGGATGAAAACTAACCGTACAACTAACTATTTATATTGACAGATTGCATGCAATTTCCGCCATAATTGCAATTTAAACTACAGAAGAAAATTACAGATTAATCAATGTTTTGAATAAATGGCATTAGAAACTCAGTTCTCAATAAAATTGCATTTATTCCACGTTTTAAGTCGCATGAGGACTGCGTGTAAAATGGCACGCTTTGTGTTATTTTAATTTTCCGCCACGTATGTATATGCGGTCATTTCTATTTTAAGCCATTGTAGACTGATGTAGAATTTTCTGGAACTCAGTAGATGTATGTATGTATGTATGTATGTATGTATGTATGTATGTATGTATGTATGTATGTATGTATGTATGTATGTATGTATATGTTTCCATTGCGCGTTATACTGTCTGAATGATTTTGAAGTTCAATATTTCCCTTACAAGCAAATTTCATTATATTTACGGTCTACTTTCAGTGCCGCTGTACCAGCTAAGTTTTTATTGGATATAATTTCCTACTTTTGATTTATGTATGTAAACACGTACAAATAATCCAACTTGAGAGCGCAAAAAAATGTATAGAATCAGTGGATGCTATCAAATTCATTTGGTACAGTCGATGCCGAGCTTTATATCGTCTGCTTGCTGTTTATTGTACGCAATGTTGTGACTTCTAATTACCCCATGCATTTACAGAACGCGAGTGGGATTTAAAAAATAGCATCGTTTTGGTTGGTGCTTATAATTTACCACTTTAGTTTTGGTGAGTGCTTATAAGTTACTGCTTTTAAGACCCATAAAGCCCTATTTGTGTAATCATAAAATGTAGTTCCCTGAAATAAATATTTGTCTGTGAAACAAAAAGCTTTAAAATGTCTCCCGACTCAGCATGATCTGTCCGAATTTTGGTGGATTCTGGAGTTAGAATATTGATGCCACCATTTGCTCCAGATCGGCTTTTATTAAA